TATTCAAACTCTAGACCTCTCTTCTTTGTTTTTATAAAAGATTTTGAGCAATACCTTTCATTAATCCAGTTGTCTAAGAACAAAAAAGCCTTAAAACTTTATCTATCTGTACTTTGTCTTGTTCTACCTACCACAGCACAAAGATCTGACGTCAGATCCTTTTTGTTAATGGAAAGACTAGCATTTTCACAGCTTTTAAGCAAGCCTTGATAATGTGGGTACTCAGCTGATTGATTTTGGCCACCAAATCATGGTAGCACATTTTTTAATGCAAACTCTAAGCTTCGTTTAAACGTGAGCAAATGTGTTTGTACTAATGTGAGACAATGGCTCCTCTGTCTTCCTTTCTCTCTACTGATAATGACCTACTTTTTAACGTTATATTAAAAATATTACTCTTTTCCTAAACATTGCATTGGAAATTTGAAAATGAAAATGAAAAACTCATACATTAAAGAGTTGTAGTATGTTCTTTCAATTTAGCTAAACATTTTACAGTTTGTCCCAGAAGAATTAGTCTGTTTAATTTGAACCGTGTAGTGTGACAATGAAGAAACCAATGCAACAGATTGGGAGAAGTAATTGATCATATAAAGCAAATAATAGTACATTGAAAAGTTGTAGTGTGTTATTTAATGTAAAATTAATATTTTACAATGTGTACTGGGTAAGTCAGTGTCTTTCTTCAAAAGCTATTGAACTGGAAGGTGTCTCAATGATGAACCCCATAAAATACAGTGATGGGCAAAATTAAACATATAGAGCAAATAATTGCACATTAAAGACCTGTAGTATGATCTTTAAGGTCAAATAAACATTTTGCTACTTGCTTTGGAGCGATGTGACCCTCTTTTCAAAAGCTATTGAACTGGAATGTGTGTCAATGCAGAAACACAGAAAACAGTGATGGTACTTTTTGAACATCTACACTAAATTCTTCTATATTAAAGACTTGAAATATGTTATTTAGGGTCAGATTAATATTTTGGAACTTCAACCGGAGCACTAGGTCCCTTCTTTCAAAAGCTATTGAAGTGGATGATATGTCATTGAAGAAACCCATAAAAAGCAGTGATGGTACAAATATAATATATATGTGAGGCACAAATTCTTTATAAACCATCTTGAAGAAAGTTTTGCCACTAGTTTTTGAAGTGTTCATTCTAAATCAACATCCTGTTTGCTATCATGCTTTCTGAGTACTTGTCAATAATCTGATGGATTCAGTACCATGGAAAGTGATATTTCTGCAGGACTGTAAACATCAATCAGTGCACATGAATTTTGAGGGTTTAATGTTAAACAAAGCAGTGTTAATTTCGTTAACGAAGACGACGACGAAAAATATTCGTTAACTAACATTTTTTCTGTGACAAAGACCAGACGTTGACGAGCTTAAACTAATATCTGATGACAAAAAGGACGAAACGTATGCCGCGTCTTCGTTAACAAGACGAGACGGGACTATAATGTTATTTGAGAACTACCGGACATTCAAAATACATCCTATAGGCTACTGTCTTGTCCTTAAAAATGTGCGTCCCTGTCATTGGATTGCAATCGGATAAGGGGCGTTCGCATATCTAGTCCATAGACTGTGATCAAGTCTCAGTGTGGCAGCCGCGGTGGATGGATAGACTACCAAAATGCGAACTAGCGATCTGAAACAATGGATTTAGCACCCGAAAGGCTAGGGATAAGGTGACCAGACGTCCCGTTTTTCCCGAGAGTCACAATTCGTTGTCAAATAAACTTAAAGTTAGTGAAGGCGGGATAGGCGGAATCGCGCTGGTAGAAGTGCGTCTTTCACGGGCGCACGCTGCACTTCTTCAGTTCTCACATATAGCACGCGATCAGTTCTCAGTGCTCAAATACACACACAGCAGTCCAAATGTCTATCGTGTAGAGTCTCTCACGTAAATACAGTCGCTTATGGATTAAGTGAACGTGAACACTCGCTTTTCAGACCGATGAGCTTTGTAAAAATCAAAGCGTTTCAAAAAGGCGGGGCATAGAGGAGAAACAATAATGTACAGTATGTGGAAAATAATGTGTTTTTTTTTACTTTAAACCGCATAAATACATTTCATTACACCAAATACACAAAATAATGTTCTTTTTAGCAACATCATATGACCCCTTTAAATAAATATTTTAAGTAAACCTACTGTATCTGAAAAATGAGTTTAATTCGTATCTCTTTCGTATTTGTCTTATTGTCTTATTCTGCTTCTTTTTCAAAAATTATAAATTATATATATTAAATATATTATTTATGAACAACTATAATCTTTATAAGTTGCTCCCTTTTCACTACTGTTAAAGGGATAGTTCACCCAAAAATGAAAATTGTCATAATTTATTCAAGTTTTTCCAAATTAAATCCTTAATTCAAATTTCTCATAAGCTTAATTGATTTGGTCTAAAGAGAGAATTAATGACTATTTTTGTTTGAAGACTACATATAAAATAGCTACCAAAATAAATGTTGGTAACTGCAGCTTGACTAAAAGCAATGACTAAAAGTAATGACTAAAAGTTGACAAAAATGCAATGACTTTTCGTTGACTAAAACTATGAAAGACTCAAGTGACTAAAATGTGACTAAGACTATTAAGCATTTTCGTCTCAAGATAAAGACTAAGACTAAATCAAAAATGCCTGTCAAAATTAACACTGAAACAAAAATGTCATAAAACAGGAAAACATAAAAGATAGTTTAGCCATTCTTTTCATTCAACACCTGGAGAACACTGTTACTGTTAAGTCTTTATCATACTTAAAATCAGAAAAACAGAGGTGAATAAAACAGCAAGACATGGGCTGTATGTTCTGTAGGGTCCAGACAAGATGTTCCAACTTGCTTTGGAGCAGTTGACCCATGCTTTCAAAACCTATTGAAATAAATTATGTCATTGTTAAAACCAACACACCAACACAGTCCTTGTTCATTTTGAGGCAAATAAACAAATAAAAACAGTTGTTTTAACTATGCCATTAACTATGTTCAGGAGATCACACGTGATTTTCCACTCGTCTGGATTGTTACCAAATTACAGTTCATGTACATGTTCATTCTTTTTAATTTCCTAAACATCTTTTCAACCACCATCATTATAATGCAATTTTTTATTGTTGCTAAAGGAAAATCTATAGCATTAGAAGACATAATGTGAGTGATATTTGCCGGTACATCTGTAGTTGCCTAAAACGTAGTTGTCTGTTTGCACACAAAGAAAAACTTTTTTTCTCTTTCAGCCCGATAAACATGATAATCAGAACCAAAACAGATGTTTTTTTAGCAGGTCCGAGCTGTAATGGCGCAGCTCCAGCTCTATTCTGGAAAAGGGGGCGGGAAGCAGCAGCTCATTTGCATTTAAAGAGACAGGCCCGAAAACCAGCATGTTTCTGCTTCCACTCAAAATAGGCATTTTCAAAATGATATAATAAATGATCTGTGGAGTATTTTGAGCTGAATCTTCACAGACACATTCTGGGGACACCAGAGACTTATATTACATATTGTAAAAAGGGGCATAATATGTCTCCTTTAAAAGGGGGAAAACAGTCCTTTCGTTGCATTTTTTTCGGGTTTTGTTTTGCACCTTTTATGCATTATAATTAATACATCAAAAAGTGCAAAACCATTAAAACAATAGCGGGTGGAATTAAAATTACATTTAATTTAATATTTTCAGAATGTTTTTGTAAGGTAGCTAATTTACTTCAATTACATTTATTTATTTATTTATTTTATTGTTGCAGGATATTGACGTTTTCACAGATTTGCATATTTGTTGTGTTATAACTAAAACCTTAGGCTATGTGTTGTATTGATTCTTGCTGTTGCACAAGTAGATATGTTTGTGTTCTAGTCCAGATAGTCAATAAAACAAAATAGGAGGAAACATATTTACATTATATAATTATGTTTTTTTTTATCATAGTTGTTTTTGTGGTTGAGAACCACTGCATTATAGTCATTTGTATTCACTTTTTCTAAATGTTATGGTAACATTGAGTAGGCATACGAAATGGGAGGGATCTATATGACTGAATTTTAAAAAATTAGATGTGGAAAAATTATTCTTATGGATTGTTTTAATTAACTTGGGTCTGAAGAGGGCGCCTCAAGGCCCATAATGGCCGATTTCTTTTACTGTGTCTGTGTATTGTGCCAAAAATTTAAGTCACTGTCTACATTTTATTCAACTGCATACAAACAATGGATTACAATTAAATAAAAGCTAATGGTTCATACATAGCCAAATAAAACACAGTGCTAAATATATATAAAATCAGAAATAGAGATGCCAAATAAATGTTACATGAATCACTTACATGCAACAGCCCATAATACAAAAACAAAAGTCAGCATGCATCCCAGTTAGCTTTTTTGTTACAGAAGGTGCATAAAATCAATATAGATCCTAATATCTCTCTGAATGTAAAAAAAACCTTTTAATACCTTACATTTACGGATAAACAACATTTATGCTAACAATTTAAGTTGCGTAGAAATATAAATTATCATATTGCTTCTGGAAACTGACAAACCCAAACAAATCATTTTTATGAATAATAAAAAAAAAAAGAATAAAACTCAGTATGAAATCTACAATGACCTGACAAATGTCCTGAGACAGTTTTGTTGTGTCTTATTTTCGTATATAATTAATTAAGTTAATGTTTTAATGTCATCCACAGCGGCGGCGGAGAAAGAGACCATCAGAACTGCGTACACCAAGATGCTGGATGCTTATGGGATCCTGGGAGTTCTTCGTCTTAACCTTGGTACAGTTTCTCAGCTTCTTTTTACATTTTTTTTTATTTGACTTGCTGGTTGTGTTTGTCGTCACAGCAATTACAAATCCACCCTGTCGCCAGATTAAAAGAAGAAGAAAAAAACGCTGATCTTTTTGAAGATAAGTAGAGCAGAAATATTACCAAAACACTAAAATTCACAGCAAAACAAAAATTATGAAAAGTAAATGCACAACATATTATCAAGCAGTTGTTATACAAATATATAGTGTCTTATTTTCGTATATAATTAGCACAAAAATGGTAGGCTACTTGACTGGACACATGTCCATCAGTACTTCGATTTCTTACATCACGTGACACAAATCTGGCCAATCAGTGCACAGCTTAAGGTTCCGGAAACAAGCCGGGCGTCACCACAGTACTCACGTTGTCCTTTCTAGGTTTCGGTTGTATTTCTGTGCTTGAACTACCTGCTAATCATTTTGTTTCTAGCCGTATACGATCTCCAACCAGGGGAAGACAGACACAACTCTGACAGGTACACAAGACCGTCTCTTTACCGAGCATCGTCCTAAATTAATAGTAAATTCTGAGACATTGCGTTTGTATCTTTCACGTATAAACGCACATATTGCGGCGCTGTTGTCTGTTAAATGTCTGTTTATATGGTTCAGGAAGGCGATGGAGAGCCAGCCGGCTAACATTAGCCATAGTGCTGGGCATGATAAAGGCTTGTAGCACTGTCAGTCTGTCTTAGCTGTTGGTTTTGACAGATAAATGGCCGGCGGGCCTGGTCTTGTTCAGTATGGTTATCATATGGATGATTGCTAATCTCATGTGCACTATCCTTCAGCCACACGCTGAGACAGTGACCCAAGGTTAGACAGCCTGTGTGTGCATGAATTGTAAACACTGTCATGTATTTGGGTTGCAGATCTGATTGCAGCTGTCATTTCATTGGAGTCGGACATTTTACTCGTTGCTTCGGCTTTGATGGGATTGGGGTTCATTCTCCATCCCTTGTTGTCGTGTTGCTGAAATAAAGCACAACTAAGCATATTATCAAGCCGTTGTTATACAAATATAGTCACTAATTACAGTGTCATTTCAAGATGAGCCATTATTTGAGTTTGTAAGTGTATGTAATATTTCAGTCATATTTTAAGTTCTTAGAAAACAGCATAGACATTGAGACTTATCCACCTCAATATTCAAGTAAGGTGTCAATGCATATGGGTTTTTCAATGACTTTTAATTATTAAACTTCCACATTTTAAAGCTGTGGTTCCAAAACTTGCATAAGCTAGAAACTCTGAATCCGCTTCTCTCTTCTTCCATAGGGGATTCTATGCTGCACAGCCTGGTGGTCGTAACAGGCTGCAGTTCAGTGGGAAAAGTCCAGGATTCAGAAGTTTTCCGAGTAACGGGCACTGACTTTGTCTCTCTGAAAAACGACCCCTCGGATGAGGACCGCATTGCTGATGTCAGGAAAGTCTTAAATTCTGGTAACTTCTATTTCGCCTGGTCCTCCACCGGAGTGAGTCTGGACCTCAGCTTGATAAAAAAACCTGGTTGTAATTACATCTGTAATAAATTTTTGTAGTTATATCCATATATTGTATAGATATAACTACAAACCCTTTAACCCACCCCTAAACCTAACTATACCATTATCGTATCCCACCACAATTTTTTTAACATATTAGTTAAAGGTACCTAAAAAAAAGTGGGAACAAAATATATATTTTAAGTAATTTTAAATACGTTGCATTAAAATAATTATTAATAACTAAAGTGTATTTATTATTAATCAAAATAAAACTGAAATAATGTAAATATTAGATGAAAAATATAAACTTACAAAACTTACAACAGAAAATATTAAATGTTGCTGGAAAAAAAATAGGTTGAAGTACTAAAATTACTAAAACTAAACTGAAATTTAAACAAAGGAAAAAAAATTTGAGAAATTGGCTGCTGGGTGGTTGCAAATGGTTTTAAAGAATTTTATTTATTTTTTTTACAATTTCTCTATAATATGATATAGTACAATTTATTGACACTAAAATTTCATTAAAAAAACATTTATTTACCCAATATTTAAATATTTTCAAAACAAATCAGAAATAAAAAAAGATTAAACCTGTTATTTATATTATTTAAAATCCTACATTCATTAAAATGAAAGCTCTGGATGAGGTCAGTCTTTGTGAACCTGTTTTAAATCATTTGTTTCATTTGGGTGGGTTAATAACCCCATGACCTTGTCAAGGTCACTAAAGATCTTCATCAATAATAAATCTTTGTATGATTTTTTTAGGGAAAGATAAGGTTGATTAAAATGACAAAATCTGCTTTAAGAAAGCCTGAAAATGTGGGAGGGTTTATTCTTATCCAGCCTTGGCTCCTCAGGCTGAGCATGATGGACATTCTTTATTCCTCATGAGTCACTGCTCTGTTCCCTGGAGTGCTGAGTCAGGTCGTGATGAGAGGAAGTAGATGCAGACAACACAGTCGTGAGGCTTTCATTTCTCCCCCTCCATCCTTAATGATCTATTGATCACTTGTTTCCTTGGCTTCCTTTGTTTTAAATCACCTTTGATTTTTCTTGAAGCATTGGATCACAGGATTGGATAAACAATTTAATTTATTCTTTTTCAATAAGATTAATGTGTTGAAATGTGCATGCAACCTTTGTGATGTTTCCTATCCAGACACTTTAGTGCTCTGAGGAGGCTGTATGGCAAACAGGTGATCATCAACCTGCTGGGTATGAAGGAGGGTGAACACATGCTCAGCAAAGCATTCCAGGTGAGTGTCGTTTAGCAAATATTCGGGTTGGTCAGGCTACAATACATTATTTGAGATGTCTTTCAATACTCAAGTATGACAAAACCATAGAGCAGTTGTTCCGCTTTCTTTACTGTATAAAGACTATCTTTGTCTTTGCCCACAGAGTCACCTGAAAGCTTCAGAGCATGCGAACGCTGTGAGAATGTTGAACTTTGACTATCATCAGATGGTTAAAGGTGGGAAGACTGACAAGCTCAGCACTGTCCTGAAACCTCAGATCAGCAAGTTTCTGGAGGAATGTGGTTTCTTCTGCTACTCAGGGGAGGCCGGCATTCAGAGGTGAGGTTATATAACATCCTAACTAGGGATGTAACGATTAACTGCGAGCCGGTTGAAAATCAATTCAAATATGTGACGATTCAAATCGGTTGAGATGCTAAACAAATCGCGATTCATTTAGGTGTAGTAGTTTATATGAATGTATGTCAGAGGGGAACTTACTGTCTTTACAAAAGTTTAGATGGTATTTTTTCTTTTCATTTTGCCTCTGTATAACGCATATTAAAGTTCATAAGTTCAGCACTGCTGAAAAATTCTTTAAGCGCCACCTGCTGGCAGAGAGTGAATCTGCATCTCATTCAGGTCGTCTGCTGTTTCATGCAGATATTTTTATGTATAGTTTCATAAAACTGAAGTCAAACCATTCTGTTTTTGCTTCAAATTTCAAAATTATACAATCTAATTTAGATGAAAAACTGCTCATGTTGCATGTATGCAGCATCTTTGTTTGGATCATGATTAAAATGCAGTGGTTGCCTCTAATTTTAAATGTAAAGAGCACAGACAAAGCCTTATATGAAGAGATTTCTTTTATTTGTGTTACTTATTTATTTGAGGCTTGTTTTAAAATTTCAATGTAGTTTTGTTATTTACATTTACATTATATTTAAATTTAGTCATTTAGCAGACGCTTTTATCCAAAGCGACTTACAAATGAGGACAATAAAAGCAATCAAAACCAACAAAAGAGCAATAATATGCAAGTGCTATATTAGTATATTATTATAGTGTTATATTTCAATTTCACAAAGAAATGTGCAGCATTTTGTCCAAGCAATAATAAAAGGACACATTTAATTTATAATTTGTCTTAAATCTCATTTTGTTAAAAATAAATAAATAAATCGTGAATCGAATCGTGAAATCAAAATCGTGAATTGAATCGAATCGTGAGTTGAGTGAATCGTTACATCCCTAATCCTAACACAGCTTGTTGTGACAGAACAATAGCAGAAAATAGCAGAAAATTTTCAGCATCAGGTTGTTTATTTAATTTGTTGTGGGAGGTTGCAAATGTTTGTTTTATCAATCCTTTATTTTTTTTACAATTTCTCTGTGATATGGTATAATATGACATAACAAAGGGCTTCCCAAACAGCTATTTTAGAGAAATACAGGGGGTTTTGTGAGTTAACATAATAGTAATAATTATTTGAAATTACATTTTAAAGTGAAAACAATCAAAATAAAAAATGTTAAAAAGTAAATAAATTAAAAAATGTATTTACCTGTGAATATGTAAATGTGTTGTTCAATTATTTAAATATACACACACACACACACAGTGGGTATAGAAAAGAATCCCCCCCCACCCCCTTTAAGATAATCACATTTTGTTGCTTTGCAGCCTGAAATGAAGACGGACAAAGTTTATTTATGCAATTAAGATGTACAAAATTGTGAAAATGTAAAATTATGAACAATCCTTACATTTAAAAAGTAATTGGTTTATGATGATCATCGCAAAGTGACCAAAACTATTTCATGAAATAGTCTCCCACTATTTTGTTCACCACAGATGTCAAACTGGGACCATTCGTTCCAATTGTCTAGACTGCTTGGACCGAACAAACAGCGTCCAGGCCTTCATTGCACTTGAGGTGTGTTTGTAACACAGTTCTGTTTTCTTACTACAGTATAACATATTTGGAAGTTTTTTTTTTTAATACCTCTCGTGTAAAATGTCTCTGTTGTTCAGATGCTTCCAAAACAGTTGGAAAACATGGGTCTGACTGAGAAGCCTCAGCTGGTGGCACGCTTTCAGGAGGTTTTCCGCTCCATGTGGTCCACCAATGGAGACTCGGTCAGCAAGATCTACGCAGGCACTGGTGCCCTGGATGGCAAGGCTAAGGTAAGTGTCTGCTTGTAAAACACATACAAACAATAAAGCGCAAAAAGGCAGCAGAGAGCTGAAAATGGGCGTTTCTGTGCCATCTTCACCCAGTAAGTTAACGATTGTCTTAACTCGTGTATCTGCTGTTTTTCCTTGCTTTCCTCTGGCTGTTCCTCTGCCTGTGTGGTAAGTTGACAGTAGTTAGTTGTGTTGATGTTATGTTGATTTGAGTTGTGATGCTGTATTTATCTTAGTCTGCTGTTTTGTGTTGGTTCTTTTATGTTAGTAGACATTACTGTAACTGGCAGTGCTCTCAACTTTAATTAGGCCTCTTTACAGACTGTTATAAAAGCCTGTAAACCCTCTCTCAGCTAGGCCTCAAACACCAAGCCTCATCTAGCTAGCTGCAAAGAAATATTAGTATTGCTGTCACGTACCTTTGAATACATGAATGTTTTGTGAGTTTAGTTTTTTTTTTTTTTAAATAGTTTTGATGTTCCAGACCATAACTATTTTAGATTAACTGTTTTGTTTTGTTTTATTTTGTTTTTTTCTTTCTGTAGGGTGGAAAGCTAAAAGACGGAGCTCGCTCAGTCACCAGAACCATTCAGAACAACTTTTTTGACAGCTCTAAACAGGAAGCCATTGACATCCTGAGACTGGGCAGCACCCTGAACAGTGACCTGGCAGACAAGGCACGAGCCCTCCTCACAACCAGCAGCCTGTACGGTATGATTTACAACACCACAATCCAGAGTCAGAAATAAACCAGGACAATTATAATATTAATAAAATCAAAATCAAATATAAATATATTATATTAATAATAGAATTAATTATAATGTAAATATTTTCATAATATAAATCTATTGTAAATACATTGCCCATGAAGGAATACATATAAAATGCCTGGCAAATGTATATTAAACTATACTGACTTTACTGAGATATAAGTGGTCTCAAACAGGATTTCCACCTTTGGTATCTTGTGTTTGTGGTCACGGTTTTTATGGGATCAGTCTGCTGTAGTGGACTGATTTCATCCTGTGGATCTGGATCTGAATGCATTTCCTTATGCTAGCGTGCTAATCTATGACTCCCGGCTGCTTTGGGTGTGAGATTAGTGTTGAACCCGAGGACTAATGCTGTTATCTGTCTAACGGCTAACTTTAACCTCTCTCTCTCTTCCCCCTCCCTTTTTTCTTTCTTTTTCTCCTTAATGCTTACAATGTTAGTCTCTGAGCCCATTTTACAGTCAGGTACAGTATACACATACCAGCCATAAATCCATAAATGTTTATGGCTCCCTGTTTCATAAACTCACTGTTTATTTTGGCGCCTCTGACATTGTACAGTGTGTTTTTTTTCTTTTTTATCATCCTTTTAATTTGCTGTGTAGTCTTGTTTTAATGTGTCATATCTTATTGTCCAACTTTCAAGGACAGAATTTCATCCGATTGGTGTGTCTCAGTGGTTTGGTCGATGTCATATGCTCTGCATTTTCTTTTTGTGTACTCTGGCCATTAGTTTAATGTTCAAGATATTATTTCATATTATCATTGATCATTTGAATGTAGGTTTTTTATAAATGTTTCACCCTTTCTGTTTTTAGCCTCTCCCAGAGTGCTTCTGGGCATGTGTCAGAACCACTTCAAGTACACGCGTCCCAAGAAGATCAGAGTGTGTGTGGGTACATGGAATGTGAACGGGGGCAAGCAGTTCCGCAGTATTGCGTTTCGTAACCACACGCTCAATGACTGGCTCCTGGATGCCCCTAAGAAGGCCGGCCACCCAGAATTCCAGGGTATGTGTTGATGCAAAGTCAATGCAAATGATACTTTGAAAGGAAATGAGATTGCTTTGTTTTAATATCAGTCAGTGACTAATAAAACTAGTGCAAATACTTAAGTGGCTTCATATATCAGAGTCCAAGATCATCGTTTTGTCATGCAGATGGAAAATCTAACCCAGTGGACATCTTTGCTATTGGCTTTGAGGAAATGGTAGAGCTGAATGCTGGAAATATCGTCAGCGCAAGGTAAGAACTAACTTGACGTTAGAGATTTTAAAGTTTACTGGTTGTAGTTAAATAGTAAGCAGAAGCTAAATTTCCTTTGTTCAGTGCAACCCAATTCACTTTTCTTTCAATCAGTATTTGAGGTTAAATATTTTTTTCATGCTCTCGTTCCTGTGAGAACTATTTAACTTCTCTTTCCTCCTTGGTAGCACTACTAATCAGAAGCTGTGGGCTGTAGAACTGCAGAAGAACATCTCACGAGAGCACAAATACGTGCTGCTGGCCTCAGAGCAGCTGGTGGGTGTGTGTCTTTTTGTCTTCATACGCCCCCAGCATGCACCATTCATCAGGTATTCTCACTCACATTTGCTTTCTTTTTGTGATTGACAAATCAGTGTGATTTCAGATATTCAGAAGGATTAGAAATTATTCTGAGATCTCATATTGTGTGTTTTCCTCACATAGGGACGTTGCTGTGGACACAGTGAAGACTGGAATGGGTGGAGCCACTGGTAATAAAGGGGGTGTGGCTATTCGCATGCTCTTCCACACCACCAGCATCTGCTTTGTGTGCTCTCACTTTGCTGCCGGCCAATCACAGGTCAAAGAGAGGAACGATGACTATAATGAAATTGCACGCAAACTGTCCTTCCCCATGGTAATTCATTTATGATGTAAAAAATATCTGTTACTTCTGATCCATTTATGAACACCTTCTTTTGATTATTGTTATTTATCACTGCTTATGACAGTTTAATATTATTTAAATACATTATAATAAATGTTAGATGTAATATATTATTTATATTTTTTATTATTAATAATGAATAATGTAATAATACATTAATATATAGTATATTTATTATTTTATATTATGTAAATAATAAAAAAAAAAGATCTGAAATATATTTATTAATATTAAATAATACGATTTTTTTATTTATTTTTTATTTAGGGCCGTCTCCTGTACTCCCATGATTATGTATTCTGGTGTGGAGACTTCAACTACCGAATAAATATTCCTAATGAAGAGACAAAGGAACTGATCAGACAGCAGAATTGGGATGCACTGAATACTGGAGATCAACTGCTGGAGCAGAAAAATGCTGGACAGGTATATTGGGAAAAAACAACTATATCAGTGGAATTATTTATTTATTTATGTATTTTGTCACTCTTTTAAACAATTTCTCCATTTTATTCATATTTCAGATTTTTAGGGGCTTTATTGAAGGGAAGCTGGATTTTGCCCCCACTTACAAATATGACCTGTTTTCGGAGGACTACGACACCAGTGAAAAGTGCCGCACACCAGCCTGGACTGACCGTGTGTTGTGGAAGAGAAGAAAGTGGAACTTTGATAAAACTGGTGAGAATTATATTAATAAAATCTCTTCAACCACCAACCAAACTTGAAATGCAGTATACAGAATAAGCTTACTTTAAAGTTACATTTTTGACTAGATCTGCCTGTGTATGTGTCACAGCGGAAGAGTTGGAGTTGAATGTAGTAGGAGCCGCAGTGAATGAGGAAGATCAGTACCCATGGAGCCCTGGAGAGCTCAAGTATTATGGTAGAGCAGAGCTCAAAACCTCTGATCACAGGTGAGAGAGACTTGGGCCAGCACCAGCGTTAATTTCGTCAACATTTTTTCCACTGACGATAACAAACTAAAACTCTCTTTGAATGACAAAAACTATGACGTAAAACTATTGACTAGGGAGGGACGATTTGGGAAGAGATTCATTCAGAATGAATCTGCTGTGTGGTTCGGAGGTTAGATGCGTACATAGGCTATGAACCGGCGGGACATAAGCTAACATACACTTGCTGCACGTCGCATGAAACGTTCAAAAATGCCAATATGTGGGAGTGAGAAAAGAGCAGACATATAGATAAATCTGACGGCGCAAGAGAGAACTCAATTCGGTCTAGTTTTCAGAGCTCAGACACTGAAGTATACACATACAGAAAGCGCGTCTCACAGCGCGCGAGTACTCTTTCGCGTCGCATGAACGGAGAATTACACACAAAATTGTTGAATTGTCCGTTTTGACGAGTATTCACGTAAACACAGTTGATTACATCTTAAGTGAACGTTAACAGTAGGGAGAACGTGTATCAGTATATTGCATCCATTGCAGCTGTGCATTCGGTTTTAAAGGGACAGCAGCCTAATTTAGTTGCTATTGTCCGAGTCATTGATGTTAATCAAGCAACAAAAGAAAGCCAGAAAATCACGCACTGCTCTTGACTGAAAAACTTTTTTTCTATAAATGTATTTATAGAAATATATATGTCTGCTTGAAAGAATGAAGAATATGGTAAACAAGTTGCTATAAAGAATGCATGATTAGCCTATATAACCATTGGTCTTTCATTAAAAAGAAGGCCATGTTTGGTTTTATTTAATTTGAACATAAAGGCATGTTCTGTGACCACAGTTAAATCGGTGTCTATTATGATAAAACCTTAATATCAAACCTATATAATGAGTTTGGAAGTTTTAGAGAAATGCTTTATAAATGCACTGTAACTAAACCCATTAGATTTTAGCTGACTAAATTTACTGTAGATTTAGTCGACTAAAACTAAATGGCATTTTAGTCAAAAGACTATGACTAAAACTAAATAAAAATTTGCTGTCAAAATGAACACTGGCCAGCACGGTGTGCGTGATTTCACCAAGTACAACATGGTCCTGGATCAACATCCTTGTTAATCCTGGAACAACATTCCAATCAACCAATCAGAATTGAGATATAACTTTTCAGGAAATATCTGTTTTAGGTTTAGATCAGGGTTAGGTGCTTCTACACCCTTGTTAATCAGCTATAATTTCCCACTGATTTTAGGAATAAATTATGGGTAGGGTTAGGTTTAGGGGTAGGGATTGGGTTAAGTCTATATTTTTGGACAATAATGTTGATCCAGGATCATCAAAAGATGTTGATCCAGGAACATGTCTTACTTGGCAAAATCACAGCGACGGGCCAGCACATCTCCTTTCAATTTTACATCAGCAATGTTTTCTTGCCCTCCAGTGGCCCTCAGAGGTACAGGATTTATAATATCACTTAAATACTATACTATACATGTTAATTGAGCCAGTGGCATTTGAAACTTGCGTATGTTTGGGTCAGGTGAATTAATGAAATCTAATCCGTACTGTTCACAAAATGAAAGTTGCCTTGAACTCATGGTGTGTATGCATACACAATGTCTTGTTTCCTTAGCAATTATGTAAATGTACAAATTATTGTAAATGCGCAAATAGACTAAATAACTAAACCAAATTTAAAAAGTAAAACATCTTAAAACAATCAAAACATAACTTTAGACTATATTAGCTGATAAAAACAAGTAAACATTACATACCCATCAATAAATATATTATTTCTCAAAAAATTTTGGTATTAAATGGACTTTTTGTATAACATTTGAACTGAAATACATTGCCTTGTGAGAAATGGGCTGCAATTATAAATCTTCATAAATATACATTTCTCAATTCTGGACATCAATTTGTTCCATCAACAATTTCACAACATATTTTAACATTTTACATTTACACAGATATCTTTGCAGTAGTCATTTTTACAGATGAAAACATGGGCTGTAAAAAGATAATCCTAATAAATATAGCTACAAATTTAAAGGTTTTATTTTAGGTAGCCTAATTAATGCAGACTATTATAAATATATATATATATATATATATATACAGTATATTTTAACTATATAAAAATATATTGTATGTGGCTGCTTATAGACACCAGACAGATCATTATCATTCATGCAACACATGCTCTTAAACTCATTTGCACAAAACAGATAATATTAATAAAAACACACAGGGAAATTCAAACACGAATCTTTTAATAAATGCAAAACTACAATAATTATGTTAAATTGTACAGATACAGTTATAAATAGTGTTACCAAATAAAGTAATAAAACATACATCGAGTCCATAATGCAGGTTGAAATCTCTGAGCATCTCGTTTGACAGTCGCAAACCTTCTGGTCTCAGATCTTATAGATGTTCTGGAGAATGTACAGATCATGTCCCCAGCATCAGAACAAATTCAAATCTCCGAAAATGTACAGTATTGCACATTTGAGTGGTTTGTGTTTGAATGAAGAGCCCCGTGGATTTTGACTAACCACTGACGCTGAACCGCATAAGTTAATCAACAGAAGAAAGAATGAAGGAATCTCCACGTTATATCTTGATGAATGTCCACACAGAGGTAACGTAATGCAATGTGAGGAGGAAGTTTTCTCTTGTCTTTGATAAACCGCTATCCGCTATTTAATTTGAAAATTTTAATTATATCTATTTAGCCAAGTTTCCCCTTACAGTAAATGCGAACGTCGCAGAGTCCGGAAATAAGAATACCCACTCTCGCATCACCAAAACTAACCGATGTCATCTTGTGCAACTAGTCTATTAATATGTCAAGTCATTTTTTTAAATTTTGCATTTGTTTGTGTGGGCCACAGGTGCTTTAAGGCTAGGAATCTCTGTTCTTGTACCCTTAACATTTATTTCTTGCAGGCCTGTGGTGGCTATCATGGATGTGGACATACTTGAGGTGGATCCAGAGGCCAGACATCAGGTGTATAAGGAAGTGATTGCCCTGCAGGGTCCACCAGATGGCACCATCCTTGTCTCTCTCTGCACATCTGGCCCCGATGACTACTTTGATGATGCACTGATTGACGACCTGTTGGACAAGTTTGCAAATTTTGGCGAGGTTATTCTTATCAGGTACTGGCTATTTTTTATATATAATTTAATTCCAATTATATTTAATTAAAATTTAATTAAAAAATGACAGTGAAGACAATTTATAATTTTACAAAACATTTATATTCCAAATAAATCCTGTTCTTTTAAACTTTTCATTCATCAAAGAGAATAAAATTTCCACAACATTAAGCATTAAACTGTTTTCAGAATTGATAAGAAATGTTTCTTAAGCACAAATCGGCATTTTAGAATGATTTCTGAAGGATCATGTGACACTTAAGACTGGAGTAATGGTGCTGAAAATTCAGCTTTGGCATCACAGGAATTAATTACATTTTAAAATATATTAAAATAGCAAATAATCATTTTAAATTGTAGTAATGCTTCACAATATTACAGTTTTTTTTTTTTATTAAAAATATATTTTGTATGTATATGATTCTTTCAAAAACGTATACATATAAAAATTATAAATATATTTTTTGTGCTGAACAGGTTTGTTGAAGAGAAAATGTGGGTGACATTTTTGGAGGGATACTCTGCTCTGGCAGCTCTATCTTTGAGTGGCTCTACTGTAAGAGACTGTAGTTAAGATTCAATTTTATGTATTGACCATATGAAAATTCACATGCACATATTTATTGCATGGTACCCTAAAATTTACCCTTTTTTTTTTTTTTTTTTTACCATCCCTCTTTGTGTTTGCATGCAGGTGAATGGTAAGACCATAGACATTCGTCTGAGGAGTCCAGGTTGGATAAAGAGTCTAGAGGAGGAAATGAGTGTGGAGAGAATCTGCGGTAGTATCCCAACATCCACCAGCTCTACCCTGCTGGCAGAAAACTCTGACATGGGAGAAGAGTATGACATGGAAGGTGTGGCACCTGTTTGGGTTACATGGTACCAAAATGCAACAGGAACCTGTAGAACTCTGGGGCAGTATGGAGTTGCATTGTTATTGCTGTGTTGACAGGTGATGTGGATGAGGAGGTTGAGGATATTTTACCCCAGCACCTGCAACCTGGAGCAGGCATGGATCTGGGCGCTTCCCCTGCCACATCTCCATGCACCAGCCCCTGCCCCTCTCCTACCCACGGAGAACCTGCGGCCCCCATCCGGCCCAGCAGAGCCCCTCCATGCACAGCTGGACCACCACAGGGTAGTGCTAGTATTTGACTCTACTCAACATGGACAAACTCTTATGGATTTATATACATTTTTAGCTTTTTCTATAATTCACATATACACTACTGTTCAAAATTTTGGGGTCAGTGAGATTTAAATATTTTGACAGAAATTAATAACGACATTTATAATGTTACAAAAGATTTGTATTTCAAATAAATGGTTTTCTTTCGAACTTTCTATTCACCAAAGAATCATGGTTTCCATAAAAAATATTGATAATAATAAAAAATGTTTCCTTGAGCACCCAATCAGCATATTAGAAGGATCATGTGACACTGAAGACTGGAGTAATGACGACTAAAAAAAAAATCAGCTTTGCCATCACAGGAATAAATTACAATTTATAATTTATTAACACAAAATAATTATTTTAGGTTGTATTAATATTTCACAATATTATATTTACAAAATATTTTTGTTCATAAGAGTCTACTTTCAAGAAGTTAAAAAAAATCTTACAGACCCCTATCAGGGAAGTAGAAGGAAAAAAACTATTATTTTAATAATTAATTCACTTGCATAAATAGTAGATTTACATTTATAGAGTTGTGCAAAAATGTTCTTTTGTCATTAAACTCTGCAACATACAAAATTCCAGTACATTCATTTTCCTTTGTTTTTACACTGCAAAAAGGAGGATTAAGCCCAGCATCCATTAGAAGGGAACTGGCAGGTAAAGAGTGCTGTTTGCAGAGGTGTTGCCGATGTGCTTCAGTGGTTCCTGAGCTCTTATAGAGAGAGTGTGTGTGTGTCAAGGCTTCAGTGTGGTTTGCAGTGCTGTGAGCTGAGCTAAATCCCTCAGGCTGTTGATATGACAGTTAATTTGTTGTAATAGAATGTTTTTTTCCTCTCTCTTTTCTCAGGTTCTCCTGTTGATGGTCAGCCAGCTGAAGCTTCCTCTTCACAGGGACTAGAGCCAAAACGCCCCCCTCCTCCACGCCCCAACGCCCCACCAGCCCGACCTGCACCTCCACAGCGCCCACCACCACCCTCAGGTACAGCTGTGAATTCTTTGTAAATGTTTACACAGGTATGACAGATTTTTGGTCATAAAAGATCTGTTCTCACAAGAAGTCAAACCCCAAAAGTCATGAGTTTTATCTAAGATTGAAACACCCACTACATTAGATGCTATGTTTTCAATTATTATTTTTTAAATTTAATTCACATTTAATTTATTTCACAATGTCCTGTGGTTTATAAAGGAGGCAGAAGTCCCACACCTGTTAGGAAAGATTCAGCAGGTAACGCTGTACATGAACCAGTACTGTGTATTAGCAGTTGATTATTGATTTAATGCTGTTTAGTGTTTATTGACTTGGTTAGTTGCACCTGATATTAGGTTGGCATAGTGAAAAATGTCTAGCTGACTGTTTTAGATGTAATGCACAACGATGCAGTTCTGTGCTCTCTTTGGTTGTGTTTATTCGTGCTTTTCCTGAGCCTCATTGTAAATTTGCCTTTTTGCCATGTGGATTTTGCTTTTTATTACCGATTTTGGTTTATAATGTAATTTTTTTGGAAACATTTTGAGTTTTCTTTCGAAGTCTTTGCTGAGCCTCTCAATCTAGAGTTTGATCTGACTGATTATGAAGGTAATTTCTGAAAAGATTTCGATTTTAGATGGTTCTTGCGGTGTTTGTTATTGTGTATGATGATCATCTGATCACCTGAGACCTCCTGCACTTGCTAACAGAAATAGACGAATTTAGATGGGGCAGGGGTGTTCAGGTCAACCATCTTGCCATGATGCAGTGCATGAAGTCTCAGGTATTCCAGTGATTTTGGCTTAGTGTTTCATTGTGAAGTGATGGGTTGAATTAGGCGAAGTAGCTTTTGTAATTGAATAGAGAATGATAGAAATTATCTCTATATGAGGTAAGGAGTCTGTTGGGTCAGATATATTTTTTCCCTAGCTAAAGGCTGTAATGTGCTACAAAACAGAAATTATTTTTAATTTTTTGAATAATATTTCCCTCATGCTGACAAAAGGACAAAAAAGCCCAGCATTAGCACGTGCAGATGCAGCTGGTGAGTTCTTACACACTGCCTTCGCTCATAAGCCCTCCAAAATAACATCAGCCATCTGTAACTGACAGAAGATTTCATTGACAGACATATTTGGGCCTTCCTCATGCCAGAATATTGTATCCCCAGGCTAGTTTCAACACAAAATAGAGCTACATTCTTGACAGGAGCAATGATCTGATATTTTCCAGACTTACTTTTAAAGCATCTGATTAAATGTATTGTGTAAAGTATTGTTCTGTTATTATCACATTTGTAGAAATTGTGCCAAATTGACTGAAGTTAATAAAATGGTTTTCTGATATTTTTACAAACTTATTTCTTAGAAATATTACTGAATGTTTGATTATTTTCATCGGCTGTTTTTCAGGTCGAGGTCAAGCCACCGGATCAGCCGCTGGAGGCGCCTCGCGGCCGGTGGGTAGGCTTGAGAAATGTTTTTTTTCATTAATTAATTAAAATACCGTGTAAATATTATGGTTTCTGTTTTAGATCCCACCTCGAGCAGGAGTCATCAGCGTCCCTCCTCAGGCTAGACCTCCTCCTCCTGCTCATCCTGGGGCCCCCAGACCTATAGCAGAGGTGCATCCTGGGGCACCACGACCCTCACCTGATAATCACCCCGGAGCACCAAGACACGTTCCTGTACCCCAAAGCAAACCATCTGAACTGCCTCTGGGTTTGTTAAACACTTCTAATGATTTATTCATTTTTCTTCGATATTTTTTTTCTATTTTATTGCATTTTATAAAATTTTTAATAAACAGGATTCCGATTTTTCATATTTCTATTTTTTTTTATTAAGGTCTGTCAGAGTATTTTTACTATTATACTATTATAGTTTTATAATTTACTATTATGGTTTTTATTACAAGTTTTTATTTTTATGTTTTCATTTTAAGTTTAAAGTTTTAGTTTTTGTCATCTTAGTTGTTTTTGTTTTATATGCCTATATAGTTTTTATTCCGTTTTAGTTATTTTAGTACATCAATCTAAAATAAATTAAAAGGAGAAATGCATTGGCAACTTGCTGAATATTTTATTTTTTCAGTTAACATTTTTTTTTTTTTCAAGTAATGAAAATGATTTTTTAATGGTTTTAATTTTAGTTTCAGTTTTAGTTTTAGGTAACTGTAATAACCCCAGTCTGTCATTAGACTGTTGATGCTTTAACCACTAATTCATTGTGAATTTTATCAAAACTTGTAACAAACACGTTGTTTAAAAAGACGTTTTTAACATTTTTTATAATAATAAATATTTCTGACTGAAACAAGATATTTAAAAGTACATTCAGTAGTTGCTGAATTACCTAAATAACTTAAAATTATTAAAATGATAGTAATAATAATTATTGATAATAATAGTAATTAAATGACTTATTATTGATACTGTATTATTATTAAAAAAAAAAAAATTAATTTATTAAAGTTTTTAAAACTTTATATATATTTTATACCAGATTTATACATATATTTGACCATTTTAACAACTTTTTTTGCCATGTAATAATGCTGTGTGTCTGTGCGTCAGGTTCACTGCCAGGTCCCATGAGGCCTCAGATGACATCACCCATGCAGCCTCAGTCTGTGTCACCAATGCAGCCTCCAGTCCAAGTCCAGCTGCCTCCACCCATACAATCCCAGCTCCCTCCACCAATGCAGCCCACCTTCCCTACCCCGCTGGTGCCTCAGCCTGCTCCTCAAGCATCTACTGGAGCCGCTGCCGCCCCTCAGCCCGGACTGGCATCTCCTAAGCCTCCACCCCGGAGCCGGTCCTCTCACGCACTGCCACCCGAGTCTGCTCCTGCTCCTACATCTCAGGTTAGTCCTCTTACTCTGATTACAAGCCCAACATTTAATTGTGATAAAGAGAGACCGGTACCCACAAGAGCCCATCCTGGGGTCATTACCCAGCTTTAGCGGCTTCTTCCTCTTTTTTTCTTTGTTCTTTTTTTTTTCTTCTCCTTTTCTAGTAATATCGACTTTATCCAGGTGGTAGTCATGTTTCGCTCTTCTTGATGCATGTGTTTCTCTCTTTTACTAGCAGGAGCAATCCTCAGGTTGACAGGTACTGGATTAAGTCATTTCTAGTCTTTACGTTGTCTTCATGGCACCATAGCCTGTAGTCACAATGTATGAAGTGCTCATACATATAGGATCCTCCATGTTAGGGTTGTTTTTCCCCTTTCCATCTTTAATTTGACCTTTTTGTTTATTTTGAGTATCAGAAAACTGTAATGCTTAACTTGAACCCCTTGACATTTATTGTATATTGCGATTTCGAGAAAAAAATACCAGGTTATGAGTTTAATTAAGTAGTTCCAACAGGGGGTTCAAGGAAAGCGTCATCCAGTATTTGTTGTGGGTATTGTTTGTTTTTGTGTTCAATCTGCGGTATATTTGTTTCCAGTGTTTCTTGGATAAGAGAAAGTAATTTTATGAGTAAATAGCTTTACTTTACCTCTAGTAGACTTGTACACTAATTATATTTGTGTTTTTGATGTTGTATAATGCTGTTTTCATTGTTTCATTAGACAGTTTAATAAATAAGATTCAGATCTTTCTGATTTTGATTTATTTTAAGGTCTCTCATTGCACCATTTATGTTTTAACCAATCATTGTGATTTTTATCAACTTGTAATAAACACATTTAAAGTCAACATGAAATTATGTTTTTAACCCTTTTTACATCTGTAATGATACATATTTGTGAGTGAAAGAGGATATTTAAAGGTGCATTCAGTAATTTGGTGAATTGCTTAATCTAAAAAAATCAAAAGAAATGTTTTTTTTTTGTGTGTGTTTTTTTTACTGCTTGAGGAAATTTGTGTTATACCATTTATTTAAAGAAGAGGTTCAACTCAACAGCCAAAGGGGGCAGTTATTTGTCAACTTATGAACCTAAAATCCCCCAAACTATTTGTTACTACTTCAAAAGTTACTACTTAAAAAGAAAGTTAGTTCAGTAGAATTTCCTAAAAAAAAATAATAATAATAAAAAGAAGAAATAATAATTTAAAAAAAAACTCTTATTGTTCCAAACAGCCAAGGTGTGACCATTTTTTAAAAAAGCTTAGGAGGGTTGAGGAACCCAAAGACAATAATTTTCCCCCAATATATTTAATAAAATCAAATTTGATTTCATGTTGACTCTGCAACTCCATTGTGTTGTAGCTTCTCCTTAAGCTGTAAGTTTGATTTCATAATTTAGACTTTGTGTGTTTTCTTTCCTCAGGCCAAGGACATGAATGGAGTCCAAAGAGAAGCACAATGGAAACTAGACCCCTTCGACATGCTTAACACCCAGTCCCTCTTCCAGAACACATTGTTCTCCGCTTCCCTCCCTCACTCCTCTTCCTCATCCACCCCCTCCCCTTCTTCTTCCTCCACATTACCCAGCTCCCTCTCCCTATTCTCAGCTCCGCACACCAACAGCACTCCATGTCTTCTGCTTCCACCTGTACCCTGCCGCAGCAAATCCCAGGAGACCCTCCGTTCATCCCCCAATCCGTTCCTTGCAGAAGCCCAACCCAGACCCAGCAGCACCAACCTTTTCACCGGCAACCTATTGTCCTCCCCACGCCGATCGCTCACACCCGATTTCTACACCCAGCAGCAGGCCCAGAAGGCCAGCCCGGGCCTCAGCAGGGCCATGTCAGCTGTGGTTCACAGTTCAACTCTTCCACCATCGTTCTCCAGACAACAATCCTTAGTTCCTGCTTCAGCAGCGGCCCCAGCCAAACAAAACCAAAAATGGGTCACATTCGATGATGATTCAGACTTAATTTCAGGAAAGGCACCATCTGCTGGTGGGACCGGCCCACCGCTTTTACCCGCAGCCTCATCCCTTCCCTTCCCACAACCTCAGAGCAGCATCCCCAGCTCAGGCTTTGGCATGGACAACAACTGGGCGTCACTTCCCACTTCCATATTTCCCACGATCCCCCCTCCGATCCCAACCAGGACTAATACCAGCATCAAAAACGCCCACATCCCTTCCAGAAATGAATTTACAGAGAGATGATACAGCGGAGAAAGTGTATGTAAATTACAAAGAAAATATTATTGTGTATCTATAATATGTGTATGGTTTGTTTAAAAGTGTGGTGTTGAAAGTTTGTCCAAAATAGATCTGGCTGTTTCTTTTAGCCCAACGTAGATGGGAAACCAAGAGGAAATCAACACAGTATGTTAGTATATTTTTAGTTTTTAAAATAATAGGCAAAAAACCTGTCATTTGCGTATTAACCTGCATATACACACATCTGTGTGAAACATTTTACACTTCAGTGGCCAGATTTAGTATATTACACATTAGACTGGAAATCATATTTCATATTATATCACAAATATTTAATAATATATCTCATTACGATTTCAGTTTCATCCTCTACTTACCCTCATGTCTAAACACAAAAGAATATATTTTGAAAATGTATTTTTTCCCCCATACAATGGAACTCAATGGGGTCTAAATAGGTTGTTTTGGACCCCATTGGCTTCCATTATATGGACAAAACCAGTTGAAACATTCTTCAAAATATGTTCTTGTATGTTCCACAGAAGAAAGAACGTCAAACAGGTTTGGAACAACATGAGAGTGAGTAAATTATTTTTGAGATCATTTTTTGGTGAACTGTCACTTTATTCTGTAACCCAATGCAAATACAGAATAACAAAAACTTGTTATTATCAAATGCACAGATTTCAAATGCTCAAAGGCTGTGTCTGACTTGTTCTACGCCATCATATCTGTAAAATGGGCTTGACCAGAGATATCTTTTTTTTTTTTTTTT